ACATAGCATCAACTTCATGATGTAAGTGCCAGCGAACGTTAACATGCTCCACCCAACCCCACCCCCATCCCCAACGTAGCATCAACTTCATGACGTAAGTGCCAGCGAACGTTAACATGCCCCACCCAACCCCACCCCCATCCCCAACGTAGCATCAACTTCATGACGTAAGTGCCAGCGAACGTTTACATGCCCCACCCAACCCCACCCCCATCCCCACTGTAGCATCAAAAAGACAAAAAAGTGAAGAACAGTTGGCGACGTTCTATCAGCTGCCAGCCAACCTACATGTCGACGAGTCGAACGAATCGATGAGCAGAACTTCTGGTCATCGATGAACCGAATTTTCTTCGCCACGAAGATCGCGGCGTGTCGACGTTTTTGTTTTTTTCCGATGGAGACGCCACGAACCATCGCAGGATCCTTCGGAGCACCCCATGGTGGAGGCCCAGCTGGTTGAAAGCTGAAACAGGAGACGTTGACCCGAACGAGCTTGAACCACTTAATTTCCAGCAGAGGTTGAAGAAATCTAGTTCGATCCCCATACATACCCCCTGGTTACGGGTCCTGTGTCAGGTCACAAAAAAGACCTCTTAATTGGTTTGTTGCCTCCAGCCTCCATACCCTGTTTTTCACTGGGAAAGCACCTGAATCATGTGACCTCACCCAGGGATTCAAAAGGACTCACCATCCGACCATCCGTGCGACTGACTCTGGCACTGACGACGTTTCAACCCGCAGAGAGACTTACCGCGGCCCCGCGTTCGAGTTGCGAGGCGGTGGAGTTATGGTCGCATTCGTCAGGTGTGCGAGACCACGGATGGCCGTGGGAAATGTTTGATTGCACGAGCCTTCGTGGAACCAGGCGCGGAGCATGCGATACGGATCACGGCATACTACGCAGTGTCGTGTGATTTCAATCCAAAAAGGTGACCACATGTTGAGGATGATCAACTGCCAGAAGGGAGAATGATCTGGCTACGGTTGATGGGTATAGCGAAGACACTGTGAAGACCCACACATGACTATAGGAGAGGATCACTAGTACCCAGGGGTTGGTTCTTTCGTACAAGTTCCAATGACATCCAATTACTGCTTTAGATGTTTCATCGTCCAAAGGAAATGGTTGGAATTCGCTCCCTTACTGTTGGAACGCCTCCTTTCACCACGGAACAGCGTTCGCTCGGGGGAGTTTCCCTCCCAAAAAAGGACAAACACATTGATCCTGATCCCGGAAGAAATTGCGAATGAAGTGTTTCTTTTGCTAATTAGGTAACACTTCATTCAAATGTCCTCATGCATGCCAATGTCCTCAATAAGTCAAGTCAAGCAGACCCACTGGTACATCATCAACCGATGTTGGTCCACTCGACTTGTACCGCTTGGCTCGGTCGCTCGCGGGACATTCGGACTTCGACCTATGAGCGGCATGGCGTCCGGCGTGGGCGTCCGGTGTGAGCGGTGTGGATGTTCCCCTCCCCTCCCAAAACTGGACGAAGTGAGGGAATTTTCCATGTCATGAACATGAACATGACACTTCCATGTCATGTTTCTGCAGGACATCTTTGGTTTGACCTCTCACGAAAGGGATCGAACACATGTTTTTGGGGTTTATAACATCCAGTCGTGGGAGTCGCGCATCATATTCTCGCCATCTAAAAGCGCAACTGAAAGGATCCCTGCTCTGTTTGGGGCTCTCCTTTGGGTCGCTGCGCCGAATCGTTGGTTGAATCATGTTAGATCGAGTGAACACCGACTCAGTGAACGTTGGGATTTCTGGGAGATCACTGTGGAGACCTTTCGTAAGAACGTGAGGGGTGCAGTGTCCAAAATTTATGTTCCTTCAAGTTGAATTCCGAATTGCTGCCAAACGGACCCAGCTGGCGGAGTATTTTTGTGTGAAGATGAGGCGTTTGTTGGTTCCATTGCTGGACCCTGCTGGATTGCCGGATTTCCTTTGAATGTTTTGGAGCCTCAAACAAGAAAACATGAAGATCTTTGACCGGCGAAGCAATCCAAAATCTGTGAGCAATGGGCAATGGGTGACAACGGGCTCTCTTCACTAAGAAGAGGTCGTTTCCGGGGTTTTTGCAATAGAAACCAACACCAAATGGTGGAGAAAAACTTATCCCTACATCCCATCATATCCCAAGCTGGTTCTTTTTCAACATCGAAGCTCAAAAACCCCAAAAAAGGAGTCCCAATCCGCAGCAGACCTCCAGTCCAAGACTCCAGTCCAGCGACTCACCGCTGGGACGAAGGGTGGAGGCGCTGGGACTCCAGTCCGCTTCGACGCCAGGCGGCTTGATCCTCGCGGAGACGCCGCTCTTCGTGAAGCCGGAGGGCTGGTCCACACGCCGGAGACCGGGCGGCGTCGGTTCGGTTGTGTCGGGTGAAAGCAGTGGTTTGGGGCTGGGGGTGGGTTGGTGGTGTAGGTTCTCTGGCATGTCGCAGGTTTGGGGGGTCAGTTGGTTAGCAGGTTTACTATAGTTGGCTAGCAGGTTAGTAGGTTAGTTGGCTAGTTAGGTTTGGGCATGTCGCAGCAAACGCAAAGAAGCAACTTTTTAGACATCGGCGGTGACGGGGTTCGGACGGATTTCGCTAGGCTGCCCTGCCCAATTCCGCGTGGGGTGACGCAGTCGGCTGGTTTGGGGCGTGGGAAGCAACTGTTCTGCAAGAAGTGCAAAGCGTTTGTGGCTCTCTGCTGGAATCAGTCGGCCAAGATCCCTTGTGAGGGAACTTGCCGGCCCAAGAGACTGCAGCTTTAGAAATTCCTGGAAAGCTTCCGGAGCCAACTGCCGGTGGCAAGCAACGAATCCAGCCAAGGCATGCCAAGACCGCCGTTGCTGAGCTCTTTAAGTCCGTTCTTGGCAATGCTCACAGGGGAGGCAGTTGCAGATATGACGCGATGATCGTACAGTGTGATGTCGGGAGGCGCAAACCTGCCCTAGAAATCAAGGCGTGAGCGTGCAGTAGGCCCTCTCAATGTTTGAACATTGGCTGGTCGAATGCCGGAAGTTTGTGAGCAATAATCATTGAACATGTCATGTATGTATGAACGTGTTATTTCTTCAAGAAGCCGCAGAGCGCCAAGTGGTCAACCTGGTCAACTCCTTGCAGGGCCTTTCGAACTCGCTGCAAAAGACATCTCGAATGAACGGCAGGGACAACTCGCTATGCGTGGCACTCTGACAATGTGGCACCTTCCTGTCGTTATCAAGTAAGCAGGATGGAAGACCATGACATGTTTGTTTCTTATGTTATTTTATGTGTTTCCTATCTTTTTTTCTGGAGAGTCTTGCCCTAGAGTTGTGCCGCCTACAAAACATGCAAGCAGCACCTGAATTCGTGTCACAAGACACTTAAAAGAACACGTGTCCTTTTGATGCATTTGAGATCATTTGACCAAGAAGTGCAACAAGGTCATGCTCAAGATGTTTGGGTTCTGCCTATAGCAATCATGTTGAGCCTGGTTTGTGAATTAGCAAGGCCGCAAAGCCAAGTGCCACAGCCAAGGCTGACAAATTGCCCAGTGACATCGCTAATGAAGGTGGGGCTTTTAGAAGAACTCTTCCCTCAACAGTATACACCAGCGGTTTCAAGACGTTTCCAATGGCGACAAGTATCGTAGTCCAGACCCCTTGGAAGCAGGCCCCACAGCAATAAAATCCCGTCCCACGCCCTACCCGGCCCTACCCTTGTCCGATTATTTTTCGTTTAGCAAGGCGGCAATGGAAGAAATGCGAAGAAGACAAATCATCCGAACTCTGCTCACGCCCTGTTAACCTGCTAACAGAAATCAATCCGGTATATGAAGCAAGCATACATATGAAGCGGTTACAACTCTGTGAAGCACCCAACTCTGACGAACCCACCGGCTCCACGACGCAGCTCAAGGACGCTCCTGAAGCTCCAGCGGATGCCGCCTGCGGCACGCGCCAGGTACGCGCGGCGTGCGGTAGGCGGAAAACGAAGAAGTTTTGCCTGAAAGAACACAGGCCTTTTTGGGAAGAGTTCTCCCACCTTTGACATGAGATATCGAATACTTTTTTGTATTTGATGGTTTTTGATATATTTTAAGGTGGTCTATGTTTTTCAAAGTTGGCTGGGTCACCAGGTTGAGGCTCCATGAAAGCGGGTCTGACCTTATTTATGATATGTGTGGCCACCCGAAGCAGTAAAGAGGATGAAGAAGACAAATTCAAGAACATCAAGGCTTGATGTAAGGGGGCTTGGTCTCTTTTGCTCTTTTGCTTGAGCAAACATGTAAAACGATGATTCTTGTTCGCGCTGGGCTGATGGAGTGAGTCGTGAGCAATGGCTTTCCGCAAAGAAACCGACCAATCGGATGAGTGTCCAATGGCAGAGGTACCTTGGGCAGTTTGTCTGAAAGGTTTTATAGAAACAACATGAAAGGAAGCAACCTCTAGCATGTGGACTGAGTGACAACATTGCAGGTGGGTCCTGTTTGATGGACCAACTAACCATCTGAAGAACGACCCCCAAGCTCAACTTGCTCCTTCATAGGTGGCCCCTGACACCGGGATATGATTCTTTCCATATTGTCCTACCTGTCCTCCGGTGTGCTTCAAGTGGGATTTCTGCCAGGATGCTGAAGCTGGCGCAAGCGTCTCACAACGGGCAGGAGACCACTCTGAAGTTCTGAAGTGCAAGGGAAGTGGGCCGCTCAAACCAATCAGGATCAATCAGGTTCAGTTTGCTTCTGTTTTTTGGTGAGCCAGCGGCTCTAGTTTTTTTTTGAAAACTCAGGCACCGGAATTCCAGTCCAACAACAATTGCAAGGTCACCGCAGTTGACCTTTCTTGAGAAGTTGGTGCAAACGTGCTGGATCCACTGGTATAACATAGAGTATTGAAATATTGAATTCTTAACTTAAATTGACCGTCAAACCGGCCTCAAATGACCGGCTTATAAATGGTCCCATGTAGAGGGAGAATTGTGCGGTGATGATGACTCCCACATGTGTTTTGGCACAGATAAGATTTGGCGCATGTTTGATTCCTGTTTTGCTGGCAAACAAGGTGCCCAGCCAACATCGATGACTCTCATTGCCAACGATGACAAGAGTCTTAAACAGCTTGGTTTAAAGTTTGACCAGCACACTTACGTAGGTGGACACAGACCGTTTGTGTCGTGTTTTCTTTTTTTGAGCTGAGAAGATCTTGGGCAGGACAACATATGCGTAGCTTTGCAGGAGATTGGTTGAGACAAGAACTGGGGTTTCCCCAGCAACACCCCCTGTTGCTTGCCATAGACTTCAGAGCATAAATAGTACCGACGCCTCAACACTCCATGTGTTCACCACCTCAGTGGGCGTTTGTGCCATTTGAACTCGGTTTGATTGACCTTTGATTCAACCAATCTGTTCAAAAAGTTTCAGATGGGTTCAAAGTATTTGATAGAGATATTTCAGTTGGGTTTCTTTTGGTCTGTTCAAAGCCTTCCATACTGGGACGATGCGATTCATCGAACCCTCCGATCCCTCCGAATGCGGCTCGCAGAACACCGCCGAACGCGAACGGCCCCGTCTCGCGTTCGGCGCGGCAGGCGATCGGCGGAGCGGCGTCTCGTGAAGAGGGCGCGTTGCTGCGGGTGCCACTGGGACTGCACCCGGCTGGTGCCACCCAGAATGGTCAGCCAGAGGTTGTCCAGCTGTGGTGCCCCCTCCGTATCAGCCTGGTTTTGAGTTATGTCGTGTATGGAGAAAACCAGTCCTGGCAGTCCTGAAGTAGACAGAAGTGGAACCAATCCAAAAACATGACTCAGCTTTCAGTTGTTTTTGGGATGTGCCCAGCCACATTCTATTGGGACGGCGATCTCAGTGTTTAACATTTTCCTTTGTTTTTCCCTCATCCATGGACAGGTGGCTGCGGGTCAAAACCGGAGACAATCACGGAAAATGAACGGTCAAACCGACTACTATAGACATGGTCAGGTGGCAAAAGGAACGGAGTGAGCTTTGAACCAATTGCTTTTGAGGTATACCCACCAAAGCGAACATCGATTCCCACCTAAAGCTGGTTTAAGTGTAGAACATGAGGACTTCCAATGGCAAACTGTTTGTCAGTTGTTTTGGCAGGGCGTTTGCAGCTGAGGCGATGATCCATGATCACCAAGGGCGTCCCGTCAGCTGACCCAGCTGCCCCGTGTTCTTTCTCCAACCATTTCGTCCCAGGCCCATCGCCCAACGCCCCTTCATACCGACCAGCTGGATTGGTCATTCCCCGTGATGTGTTGTTTGAATCAAAATATGTTTCCATGTAGCTCTCTCCATGTAAGTTGAATCCGGTCGAATCAGCCATGAATTCAAGGTATCGTCACCTACAACATCACCTACAACATCCTACAACCCTGGTAGAAACACGTAGTAAAACACCTCACGTTTTTCACTTCGCCTGCCTTCACCGTCCCTGCAACCTCAGGTTGCGCGCAAACGGTCTCCAGTCCTTACAGGGCACGTCGGCAGGGGCTTCCCAACGGGCGAAGCGTCGGCGGGTACCAGTCATTCCAGTGATCTCTGTCCTAGTCTCTGGGTACCTTTGGAGAAGTGCACCTTCTTTGCCGATTCCCAAAGGACTCCCTAGTTTTTTTCAGAACGGGAGATGGTGTGGCAGCGACACTACTACCTAGTTTTTTCAGAACAGGAGATGGTGTAGCAGTGCACTGTTGGGGGGGCTCATTTTTTTGTCGGATCTTGCTGCTCTTTGCTGCTGATGCCTTTGTATGGGGTTTTGTTTTGCTTGGGCGCCTTGTACTAGCCCAAACTGTCTAAGGCATCAAAATCCAACACATCCAAAAGATCAGAATCCCATCGATGTTCAATCCATTGTTTCTTGGACAATCGATGTATTGGATTGTCCTTCGACTTTTGGGATCCTTGTGTTGTTGCCTAATGGTGCCCAGCTGTGCTCTGTGTTTGGTGCTATTCCCTTTAGCAAATCACGTGGTTCCTTCGATTTGACCGCCCAGGTCCTGAAATCTTGCTATGGAACAGCCCTGGCTTGTAGAGAGATCTAGCACCAGAGATCAAGATGGTAAAGAGATGCAGTTTTGACAGAGCTCTAGTTTCCCATGTAGTTTATCAAAGATCCAGTGTACCACAGATCTGGTTGACTCTCGTACCAAAGATTTGGTTCACGATCTAGGGTACCAAAGGTCTACTTTAACATCCAGCTATGTCACCAAAGCCTAGCTTTTGTGCTTCTGATTTTGTATGCGGTTTGCTGTGCGTCGGTGCCTTGTACTAGCCAAAGCCCAAAGAATCTCCAGGGGTGTTCATGGCCACAGCTGGGTGGTCAGTAGGACGTACGGCTACATGTCTTGAGACATGGGTGAATGGCGAGCCAAACAGTGTTGCCAACACCGACTATGGATTGGACAATCAGAGGTGAGATCGAAGGTACACCAAGCCAAGAGGCCGAGCTGGGCAAGAGTTGGGCATGGAAGGCTCCAATAGGATCACATCCGTGAAGCTGAGCTGATTCTGCAATCTGAAGGATAAGTGGGACACCTTCCCAGACCCTCAGGCTACAACACCAATAATATTCAGCCTTATTTATTGAACTTAATAACTCGTACTGAAACATGCGTCGCTTGATTATTGATATGTTTTTCAACAAGCGTTCTCGGGGCTGTACTTGGATCATTGTTCAGCTATAGAAGGACAACCAATGGTGAACACTTGGACCGCAGGAAGGGGGAACACCGAAACACCCGCACGGATCACCTCTGTCTATCTTGGGGCCACGAGAATGAGAGAGATCAGGCACCACCAGGCAGCTGGACCACCAGACAGCATCGAAGGGCCACTCTTTCCACTCTGAACTACTTGGAGGAGGTGTGAGTTTGGGTGAATAGATCCAGATACTGTAGACCAAGAATACAGCACCAAAGAGGTGTATGACAAGCAGAAATAAGCAGAAAGGAGGAGGTTGACCACAGCAGATCCAGGTGTTTCATAGATGTTGGATTGCAATCCCGGAGAGCCAATATGGAAGGAATGATGACAACAGGAGCTTCATTTTTCCAACACTTGTAATCCAGTAACCTTTTGGCCCCCCTAACCTTTATGCTTTATACAGCAGTAAGGCCAAACCTCATGTTTACCACTCAGACGATTCTTGGGGCCAAAGAAACAACGAAGCCAAGCGCTTCGACCGCTTCGACCGGTCGACCGGTCGTCGACCGTCTCTCTGAGGTGTGTGATCTCATCTCGCGCGCGCCGCTTTGCTCGGGCACGGGTGGACAGACGGGTGGATCCGTCCTCCATGCGGAGACGGACGGGTGGATCTTAGGTTCTCCATGAACCGAAGATCCAATTCTGGGAAGGTGAACGCCATGAACTGAACACCCCTGGCATGGTCGGAAAGTCCTGTTTGACCGTTTTCCCGTCTGAATCGACGGGGCGGGCGAGAGGTAGCGCTCCGGCCCATCAGCCCGCAGCGTCCATCTATATAAAGCAGTTAGGGCGCCTCTTTGAGTTTGGGGCGCATCCGTTGCGTAAGCCTGGCTGGGTGGGTGAATCTGGACCAAACCACCATGGGTTGACCGCCCATGTGGGTCGTACTCGATTGGCGTCGGTGGTTTCGGACTCGGACGGCCTACCGAACAGGATCCAGCCAAGCTCCCAATTGCGCAGAGGCGCGTTTACACATGTATCATCCTCTAGTTACCAAGTCCAGCACCCATTCTGGGCCACAGCGTGGGTGACAGTCGTCTTCTAGACCTACCCACTCGGAGTCGTCTTCTCGCTGTCTCGCAGGGGTGTCAAGAGGTATCGCTTTGGGTGGAGAAGGACACCGCCGTGGAGGTATGGGTCGAAGAAGGCCATGAAGAGTGAGTCCCTAGGGTCCAAGGACCTCCTTAGAAGGTATTTGGACCCATTTGGACCACCTTCTAAGAAGGTCCTTGGAGCCCTAGGGAGTATCAACGATGATCTATGCGGCGGATGTGCGAACAAGACATACACGCGGAGTATGCGGCGGAGTCTCTCATGGAGGGTCCATCAGCCCAGAATGGAGGTGTTGGTCCCTCTTTGGAGGGTCTCTTGGTCCATCAGGGTTTGGAGTGGGTCAACACCTCTCCAAACCGGTCCCAGCCCTTTGTTTGTGACATGATCCAACTGGCAAACCCATGTCGCTTCATCTTGACTTGGATGACGCGTCCATCCGCCTGGGTGGGAATATGATGCCAGGAAGATCCAAAAGAGATGGATGAACCAGGAATCCATGCCCTCTCAGAGGAATCTCCTCAAAACAGCTGGACTTCTTGAAGTTAGGACCCAGCCCCCTTGTTGAATCCCCACCTTTCGCTGTCGAAAACATTGAACCACTACATAAAACATCCCTCATGTACATCCCTCATCCACAGAAGCACCTATTCGATCCTACATCCCTTGAAGCACCTGATGAGCACCTTGAAGCTCGGTCGGAGCCTCACTGGTCGGTCGGAGCCAAGGAACCACTCGTGCCGACCGAATGCCACACTCTGCCCTGAGGACGGGGACGGGGAGGTGAAGATGTGCTTAATCAGCTTTGGGTCTTTCATGCATGTGCTATACCCAGACACGACCCGGACCTGGGAATGCCTTGTCGGAGTGCCTTCAGTTTTGGCCAGGGGTGGTGCCATGGGAGTCAATGGGGCGGCATATATGGCAGTCCCATTAGTCGGGTCTGGGTATAGATTGGAATGTTCCAGCAGTCACGTTCGACGGGGTGCTATCGAGCGAGTCGGGGTGGCCCGAACATCACATCCACGGCCCCTGGATGGGACGAGCCACACCACCCCGTCTTGTGACCCCTGGTTCTATGTTTTGGGGGTTTCAGACCGATACATCGGCGCAGCCCCAACTCCACCGCAGAGAAGGCCCACTGTCACCAGTGAAGGCCTGACCTCGTCACGCGAAGAGCACGGTCGGAGGTGATCCTGACGTTCCGGGAGGTCAACCACGTCTGGGAACGTTGAGGTCAACCGTTGCATGTTGGACATCCTTTGGTAGTTTTCATATAAAGTGGTGTTGTGTTCTAGACCGAGTTGTTGCCAACCTGAGAGAATGTCGAAGAGAACCTACCTGCGGATGAACATCAAGCTGATGAGGATGCTTGATTGAAATGAACTTGGTACATCAAGTCAATGGGCAACTTGTCTCTCAATCTGTGGCTCATCTACGACATCGGTCGAGTTTCCCTTCACCACGTTGAAGGAAGACGTGCACGTACACCACACTGGCGAGGACGTCATTCTTGTTCGTGATTGGGACAAGTTGACTGAAGGTCATACTTTGTCCGGAAGTACAAGCAATTCCATCCGTCCATCTATGGACTTCCCTATAACCCCAAGACTTACAAACCTGAAGACCAACCGGAATCACTGCAGCGGATCTTGATGCCCATTGGCGGCGACTTTTCTTCAAGCGAGGTCGGAAAGTCGGACGTTTGCGCTCGAGCATTGGCATGGACCTGGTTCAATATGAGGTGATTAATGCCTTGCGCATGATGCACTAGAGAGACAAGTCCTTGGACTGGTTCGTCATTGATCGTCCCTATTGGATCAGAGCTGATTGGTCGATCTGCCATGGGTTCTGAGAGCCTGAGTTTGTGAGCTTTGGCACAGTTCATCTCGGTCGTCACGCAAATGCAAGTGGACTTGCCGAGAATAAGTCCTTTTGAATTCTTCCATTTCTTTGCAGTGCTTATCTGTTTGTTCTGCCACACGACTATTGCTCATTTTTCGGGGGAAGGCGCTGCGCCCTCTCCCCAATCCCCCCTCCAGTTCTTTTTAAACCCCGAAAACACCCCCACAGCCCTCACTGCACCTTGCCGAAACTAAGTTGTCTGAATTCCTGTCCTGCTTATTTGTCCTTCGCTTCTTGGCTTCGATGCTTGCTCAGACACCAGTCTCCTCTCATTTCTTCAATGCTAAGCACTGCCTACCACGGAAGTTCAGCAGACACATCCAAAAGAGAGTAAAGTTTTTGGTTGAATTATTGTTTGGCTGAAGCGCCCCTTGTCTCACCCCCCGCACCTTTTCGAAGGTAAGGTCTTTGAATTCTTCAGAAACAAGGACGATCAAAAGGTCAAATTAAGTTGAAATTCAGAAGGTGAAAAAATAAACCAAATTCAGCCAACCAAAGCCATATTTTCCTTTGTTTGGTAATGCAATCATTGAATAGTTCTTAACCGTGGATTTTGTTGACTCTATCGTTCTTGTTGTATTCTTTATCTGGAAAATACATGTTTATCCTTTAGTCAATGGAAGACCGGTCTTTTCCAACTCAATTCAAACAACTTTTTGGTATGTGTTGGCACATATCGCCAATTGCCTGAGTGTGTTTGCTAGTCCTTACCAAAATGGTTTGAGGTTTCCATCAGCCGATGGGCGCCGATGCTCTGGCACGAATACTCGCGCGGCAGCACAGATGCCAATTCAACAAACACGTTTTCACACGTTTTCACAGGCGAAACGTCGTCGGCAAAAGCCTTTTTGGAGGCTTTGAGGCCACTTGTGACAACCTCAACCTATGTCTCCAGCATTGTTTTGAGAATGACTTTTAGATTTGTAAGGGGTGTCCAATGGTTTTTAGCTTAAGGGGCGTCCAATGGACACCTGTTCGATCTACCTGGTGTTCGATCTACCTGGTGGAACCATGGAAGGCTTTCGGACGAATCCCTTTGAGCCGTAACTCCTTGAAGCTCCGAAGAACAAACGCCGACCCTAGAGGAGTCGGGCATCATCCGTTTGGTGGCCTCGACTTCCTTGAAGCCAGGCGCGCGCGCGTGTGGAAACGCCTTTTTTCGTTCAACCGGAGCATCGTGGGGGGTTGAGCGAGCATCGCGGGAGGTCGTGGGGGGGTTGAGTGAGGCACTGAAAGAAGGATGTTTGGAGCGTTGTTTGTGGAAAACCTTTAACAGAGTGCCTCGGCTACGAACTCGGTGTCTTAGAACTGAAGGAGTTGTTCTGTGGAGAAATCTAATTACTTGGCAATTTCTTGGGGAAGGAACCATAGCCAGACACTCCGTGTTTGTCATATATATGCCTATATGTAGCCCCTCAAGCCATCCCAATAGGTATACGAATAGGAATATATACCATACATGGAATACGGTGTGTTTGGGATATAATGTGCGATCTCGTTTGGTTTTTTTCACATCGGAGTGTGTATCTTCCTGCGTCACCTGTAATTACAGATGCACCTCCCTTGTCCAAGGCTTTTTTCTGCATCCACTGAAGGCCAGGTGCACTCGCAAGGCCGGGTTGAAGTTCCAACATCAAGAGGTAAGATACACTCCCCCCCAACAATCATGGAAGTGGACAACCCCCACTTGGTAGAGGAAAATAGAATTCCGATTCCACCATGCTATCCACTTCTATATTTGTGTGTCGCAGGGTATGTCAAGCTCTTCTCTTGTGGGTTTGCATCCCCTCAAGTCCGTCAGTCACGCAGCGATTTTTGCTCTGTGGAGGCGATGAGGTGCTCATCTCCTACCTTTCGGGCGAGGACGAAGCTGAACGGATTGGGTTTGAGTGGGGAGGCTGGGGCAAACAACTTTTTCCCCGATCAGTGTGGTCACACTGGGGGTTCTGACATAAGGGTTAAGGCTGGGGGCCTCTTGCCGGGAGAACTTTCAATAACAAACCTATCAACATGGATGGCCTAGCAGTGTTTACGAGTGCAGTGTAGTAGTACCCCCATAGACCTGTTTGACCTTTGATCCTACCATCAGTGACATTGCTGTTTGGTGACTGGATATTGCTTGCCACTATCGGATTGAAAGGGATACATTAGCAGACTCCCCTCCGGTTCAAATCGGAAGAGGAACTGCACGTGCGAGCGAACTCATGCCCTCTTCAAGGGCAAACAAGCTTGTTCGAGCAGCGGATAATCCGAGTGTGAGTGAACCATAGTTAGAATCTTTAAAATCTTTAGAACTTTGAAGAAACAACACACAACAAAAAGTAGTTTCACTTTGTGTCGGGCAAGAGTGTCCCACAAAACTGTTCCATAAGAGTCTCCGACAAAAGATTTTTGCAAAGTGTGCCGCAAACGTGTCCTGCAAGGATGTCCCAGAAACACGCATGCTATAAAATAAGTGTCTTAAAGAATGTTCCACAAAAATGCCGAACACGGCGCGCGCGCGCGGCGTAGCTCCTGGCCAGGACTTGTTGCGCCCCACCTGGGCACGGCAGCGGGAGCTGCAACGTGGGTGACCTGGCCCAGCTTGCCGGTTCCAACCTCTGACTCCATCGGATGCCCAGGTCTTTCTGACTCGAGAAGTACTCGTACCTGGAATCGGGGCCCTCGGGGCCCTCTTCTCCAATGGAACGGTCGTTCTTTGGGGAGGGGGGGTTCGTTCTTGTCTTGCAGGTCCGGTCGCAAGGTTTGGTTCGTTTGGTTCGTTCCTTTTTTGGGGGGTTCGGGTCCAGAGTCCTGCAAAAAACGTCCATAATGGATTGTTTGGATGGGCAATTCCCCACACGCAACGGTGGTGGGCAACTCCTCCAAGACACCCCGCCGTCCCACGAGTGGGAGTGGACGGAGTCGGCGTGGGAGTCGGGACGGTGGAATACACGTCGCTGTGAGATGGGTGGTGTGTTGAAGAGATGGGCACCCTGGGCTCCAGTCGTGCCTTCGTTTCGTTTCGGTGGGACTGGGGTGGGTGCGACCGGAGGGTCCAACCCTAAACCCTAAACCCTGGGAGTTAAAGACTATAAAAAGAAGGGTCTGACTGGGTGACCTGAGTTCAGGAACTTCCGAACTACTTCAGTCGGTCAACATATAGTCCAACTGGACTTCTAGGGTAAAGGAAGTCCGAGCAAAACCTGGGTCAAAAACCACTGCAAGGCTGGGTCAATGGTCACCCAAAAGAGTCCCCCAAGAGTCGTTGCTGTTCGCTAGAAGAAGAGGTGGCCTGCATCACTGCGGTGAACAGTCTCTTCAAGTTTGGGTGGGTGTTGAAATCTGGAGACATATCCCCTAATTGGACCTCCATGGTGGAGACAGAGACAACACCCCATTCTTTGCTCGGGTCTCTCCAAAATAGAAAGACACACAACCAGTCACACAACCATCAACGAGAAGCAACGTCCACCATTTGGTCTCCAACTCTGCAACCTTGTCAAGCCTCCCAGTCTTCCAACTGGTGCTTGGTGGGGCGGCCACCCTCCAATCATCGAATGGATTTCTTCCAAATGTCACAGACTTCTCTCTTCCTTCTCTCCATCTTCACAGACACCAACCCGAAAACCGTGTCCAACCCCGAAAACCCACCAACCCAGTCCAAACCGCGGTCGAGGCCCTGGGGCTTCACCTGCGCCTGCACGCGCTGCGCCGCGCCCGACGACGCCCGCGGCATGCGCTGCGCGCGCTGCGGAGCCCTGGCCGGGGAGGGCGCGGGGACGGCCTCGGAGCGCGTTCGGAAACGGATTATGAATTCTTGGAGGCCCAGAAAGGAGGCTTTTGGATGTCCTGCTTGCATCCATGTCGTCCAGTCTTAGAGTAGCTATAGGTGGAAGGAAAGGACATGTTCTCAGATGGGAGTAGCTTGGGACATCTTCAAGTTTATGGTCAGACATGTGTTTTGTTCCGAGTCCACATGGTCTACGACTGTGGACGTGCGGGGTATGGAAACCTGTTTCGGACTCAGACCTGACGTGTGTGTTTTGTGACACATCCAGACGGACTACTTACTGAGTCAATGCTCAAACATCCTCAGCCGTTGGGAAGGAGCTCTCTCTATGTCCATGTTCACCAACTATACCAGCACCCGACTTCACAGTCACCACCCGCCATCACCCGCCACTTTTGAGTCTCCAAGAGCCACTTTTGAGGAGACCTGTTGCAGGGTGCTGGTTTCCGGACCTCCTAGCTGAAGGTAGATGACCTCAGCGTGTGCACGGTGTTGAAGTCCACCACCATGCCGGCGCGTAGTCCATTTCGGAAAAGAATGGTGTTCATCTTCAGTCTTCAGATTATAATTCTTCGATGTGGAGAAAATTCCATTGCTATGCCGCTATGTCTAGAAAACAAATCGTAGGAATTCTTAAAAAGACAAGGTCCTGGTTCTTCAAAGTGACCTTTTGATATCCTAATTTGAGGTCACTTAAGCCTCCCAAGGGTCACTTACGAACCCTTAAAAGATCACCTTGAAGAAGCTGGGTGTTGTTCATGTTCTTCGTTCAATCATGTGCTCCTCAAAAAGGTGGACAATCCTTCCGTGTGAAGTCTCCACTGGAAGTCTTCATTGCCCAGACACTCCATGGGACTGCCAGATTTGCATATACATACCAGGCGGTTTCTAGTTGTCAGGGGTTTTGAATGGTTGGGCATCCAGAAACCAGTCACAGACAGGTCGTGTCAGTGTCTTCATTGGTGCCTCAGGATCTGGTTGCCACTTCCCGCATCCCGATGGGCGCTGGACCAACTGCACTGCCTGCGGCTTGGCCGCCGGCGAAGGAGCGCGCTCCTTCGAGGAGGTGAGCCAGTCGAGCGTGTCGAACAACACGGCACCGGTGCTATTTAAACTACTTTAGAGAATGGTTCTGAGGTTGCTAAGCCATAGTTGGATCATCCCAAGGTTATTTTTCTTGAAAGAATGTCCTTTGAAGAGATCTTCCAAGTCTTCGATCGCCCCTGGCTGGGTAGACTGGATTACTTCCCGAACTGAACCCTGAGGGTCGGAACCATTGAAGGTCGGTCTCCGATTTGAGCGTTTCACACCCCAGCCAACGGTGGTTGGTTGGTCGCTTGTTTGTTCGTACACAGCCGAGCGTTCGCGAGCGCTTTCGCGAGCTACGTCGTCCTTGTTGTTCGTCGAAGATCTGTTTCGAGCGATGGACGTCCCAAAGTCTGCAGCCAATGGAAGACCTGTCGAGTAGATCGAGGATCGAGGTCGTCAAAGAAACATTCGAAGCTTGAGGGAGAGAAGGGGTTCCATCAGTGGATAACCTTTAAGCTTTTCTGGGTACTTGTTGTGTTTTCCCCACAAAAAATCCAAGCAAGTGGAAAAAGGTTAGCCTGTGTTAGCCGCTATTTTCCAGAGAAACCGAGGGAGTCAGAGACAATCACCATAACATTGAATCTCCAATGACCAACAGAGTATAGGACAACTACTCATCAACAATCAACCCTCAAGGGATCTTGAAAGGAGGCACTTCAAATGGTCTACATGCAAGGTCACTTACAGTTCACCAAGTGAATCAGATTTCTTGCAGCACAACTAACTCATCCAGCTCAGAGATGATGCCAGCTTCGCCAGGTAGAAGACGACTGGCATCAAGCAGCCTGGCTCTGTTTGACGGCCTCTGAGACTCTCGGAACCACCTGAGTCGCCACCCGTCGCGGACGAGCGAAACCGGTCGACCCCGGAGCACCGGACGGGCGGGCTCCGGTTCGCGCTTAATGGGCGGAGGTGGGTTTCGGAGGTCGCAATCTGAGAGCTGCTTTGGCCATGTGGTTTCAGATGATGGGAACTGGCCCGGCTGGCTGGACGTGCCTGAGGCTTCACGAGTTGGGTGTGTGTTTTCTCAACTATCGGACACCCAGTGTGTGTCCCCACCCGGACAGCTGGGTAAACTGGTACCGTGTTGGAACTTCCAGGGGGTCAAACTGGAGGTCTCCCTATTTTCATACACGCCCATTTAACGGATGTTCAACCAACTACCATTAACCAACCATTTGAACACTATGTGCTCCCCATTTAACTTAACTGTTATAGTTGGTCTCCCATTTACAGCTTCCAAACAATTGATTTTCCTCCGATGGTCCTCATTTGAAAGGAGAACGGAGCTTCAATCATTCCAGGATGGCAGTGTGGCTTTGGTTCTTCACACCCCTTCTGAGGTGTTCCTTGGGTTCACAACATAGCCATCCTCCATTCTATAGCAACAGCGCACTGTGCTTTTTATTGACCTTCTACATGACCTCCTGCATCCACTTTGGGGTCACAACCATTGACCACCCAACCGCTGCGCTGCTGGAATCCGCGGGGATCCTCGGTGCTTCCTGCAGGAGCTTTCGCAATTGGACCGCCTGAGCGATGAAACCGCCGCGGGCGTCCGAGCACTGGAGCTCTACCGGAAGCTCTGCCAGGCATCAGGCGCGGTGACGCGGCGCGGTTTGCGGCGAGGTCGGAGGGGCCAGAGGGCATTGTGCTGGGTGTCACGCCTACACAAGGTGGAATCAGGGCACCACCTAGCTTGTGGCGGGTGTTCATGAAGATGAACTCTTTCAGTCACCATCAAGGAGGGTCCTGAATGTTCTTAGTTTATTGCAAAACATCATATAAACGTCCTGACGATGCACCCCAATGTCCTGACGATGCACCCCAATCAATACATTGTTTCATTCACCACTTAGCCTTTTGAGGTGATCCACACATATCTTAAGTGAGTGTGTCTGAGTGTGTCGTTGGCACTGGCTGTGTTGACTAAATTTGAACCCTATCTTCTCATGTCTTCTCAAATTATAATTTGGAGGCGTAGATAAAGGACAACAGACATTGGGACTGATGGAATGATGCCGCGACAGCTTCATAGGTTGACCTCTGAAGATTTCCCTTGAGTATAGCATGTGTGTTTGAGCCGGGGGAGCTTCCCAAATGGCTTGACATGATAGTCACAACCATGGGGCCATCAGGAGTTTGTATGAACGAGTTTGAAGATACTTCTCAGCGGATTCTGCGGAAAAAAATCCAATGAAGATCTCCGCCCTCTCGACGCTGCGCACGTGCCGGTTCCGCGTGATGTTCCGCATGGTTCTAACGGACAGGCCACGCGAACATCACGGGCGGCGGCCACGCGAACATCTTGGGTCAACACTGGGTGCCTCGGAGGCAGCAGCGCCTGCTGGTACTTGGCGCCAGCGTGGATGAGATAGATCCCGACACAGAATCGGGGTGGAGCCAGTGCAAAAGGAAAGACTCTTCTTGGTACGGGCACGGCCAAGATCGGCCAATGACCATGAGAGTGGATAGATTTGGGTTGTGGAAGTGAAGAGTGGATGGTTGTTTGTTCATCGCAGGGGCATCTCTACCTAGTTGCTTTGTGTGTGTGTGTGTGGGGTTCCTGGATTGCCCATGTTGTGTGTGAAAGCTGGGGCAGCCCCAGGCACGTCCTAGGACGATTGGACATCATCCGACACATCCATCCCGCCCTATGCACTCGTTCGGGTGTGACAACGACCAGGGTGCTGACCCGATCAGCCTGGCCTTAGGGGCTGACTAGCCTGGGAAACACTGGGAGAGGCCCTCCAGAACCATTTGACCTGTGAGATGGCTGAAAAACTCGTGTCCAGTTGTAGGATCGATGGCCCACCTCCCCTCTTCAAGCATCCCAAGATCTCCCCGACCGCTCAGATCAAAGCCTGGGCCGCGCGCGCCTGCGCCCAGTCGACGGCGGTGCCGCCATTGCGCGCGGCGGCGGCGGCGAGGCAGTTGGCGAAGTTTGTGGCCTAGACACGACAAATGGGACTGGCATATTTAGATACAATGGGGTGGTTGACCTGGGGTCAATGTAGGTAAATTTTCTATACATGGAGTGTTTGGGAAGGGGAAGTCACCCATGGCAAGGCCTTTCTGAAGAAAGGACGAGATGAGCAAGAAAGGACTTTCGGTCGACCGCGTGTGTTTGGTCACCTGCCAGGTTGGTACCCACAGCCATTTGAGTACTGCACCAACAGCGGTGTTGGTGAAGAAAAGTGTCAAAATAACTGATCAATATTCGGTGTGTAGTTGAGTCATTAGGACCACCAAGTCACAACAGCGATTCGCTGGTTTGGGGGTTGTTCCGAACACCACACACGTTTGAGATCGTAGTGGGCTGGGTCGTGGGATGGGTTGTTAGAGCCGAGGAAGGGGCCGGGAAATGAAGAAAAACCAAAGGGATCCTTGAGAAAAGCACAGCTACTTGGACCTGAAAAAGGGGGTGTCCTGGACAGGGAGGTCCCTGATCGTAGTGGGCTGGGGCGAAACCAGCCAGGTGACCCCGACATGAAGGTGCTATGATCTATGGTATATCTTGTGGCCTGTACTTTGTGATTTTGCAAAAGGTCACACACCACAGAGGGTAGACTTCCTAGTTCTGTTATGGACTCGACTGTTCAATGCACTGCAGAACTCTTATGGATTCTGACAGGTAGTGGCAAGAAAGCTTGTACATTCTGATGAAAATCCATCAATCGTCAGTTGTATAGTACGTGCAGTGACAAGGGCCTTGACTTTTGCCTGCTCAGTCTGTGGAAGTTTATCATTATGTGTCCCTGTGGGTCCTGTTGATCATGACGATCCTCGTCCTTCAGATCTTCTTGATCCGCTTTCCGGTGCAACCTTTCGTCCCCTCTCCTAGCTAAAATGCAATCTATATGAATCATCATCCTGATCCTCATCCTACAGCGATTCTGTTCTACTCCATGCATGCCCACTTTCTATAGTCACCCCACGAACATCCACATGCACACACCACACATCGCCACACAGCACGCCTTTCATCCCCCCCTCCACCGAGGTCACCTGCCTCCGCGGAGAGAGCACCTCGCTGCTGCACGCCGAGGCGCTGCTGCTGCGCGCCGAGGCGCTGCAGCGCCTCCCCGCGGAAGCGGCGAGGTCGAGCACGGCGCGGGCGGCCCAAGCAGGTCGGAGATCCAGTGCGATGGAAGTGCGTGGGGAGGTTGGTGGAGCAGGTGTTGGAGCAGGTGGCACAGCTGGGTGTATATAGTTCAACCCAATGTGGTTAGATGGTTAAGAGAGAAGGCCTTCAACGAAGTATTGACGCACGTGCTCAGGTAGTCAGAGTGAGGCAGAACCTTTGTGGGCAGAGGTGAAGCGTGGCGATGCCTGCAGTGGCCATAGACCGTGGCCTTTGGGAAGTTCCTTAGGAAAACGACGGGACAGTCTGAGCACCTTTTGGGATGTTCCTTTGGGATCTTCCTTTGGTCTGAGCATCTTCAATCCGTCAACCAAACGAGATGCTTTGTCATCCATGATCCGTGAACACGGTCAATTCGCAGAGGTGAAGATACTGAGAAGTTTAGGGGGTGAACATCGGGTGAACTTGTTTTGCCGTATGCAGGAGCCATATTCCGGAAGTGTTCAAAGCAACAAGTGTGTGTGGAAAACAGAAGTCTTCAGAGTTATCAGTTATACAGGAAGTCTTCAGAGCTATCAGGATCTATAGTACAGATGGTGTATGGACAGTTGGTCTCACTTACGGAATCGTCAGATGCTCTGCACGATTTCGGGTGATTTCTGCAGAGGGAGTCGCTTGAGGTCCACGGGGCTCGACGAGACTCACTGCCAGATGGGGTGCTGGTGAGGGGGGGACTTTCTGCGTCGTTTCTGTTCGTCCAGAAGATGGCGAGGTAAACCTCCACTGACCAGTCGACCAGATGGGAGGATCATGGGGGCATCACTAGCTGTTCACCACATGTTGATACAATACATGTTCCAGGACTGTCAATTGACCTCTTTGGAGTCTCTGTTTGTGACCTCTAGAAAGGGTCTAAGTGGTTGGGTTGTGAGATCATTCTGAACGGTCACTTTGAAGGTCCTGGGTGATACATGTTGATACCATTGATGCGGGTCCCCAAACCCCTGGACCTGCCTCGGCATGCTCCAGCCTCGGATCAGGGTCTTGGAGTCCTTGCGGTGTGAGTCGTTGGCTTTGCACAACGGTGGCCGTCGCCACGTTTCTCCCATCACCCATCGCCTCGGGCAACCTGGCGCTGGAGAACAACCTTCCCTCCAAGCAACTTGCTAGTGGAGGGTTGCCCTGTGTTTTGCTAAGCGGAAAATCGCGGGCCCATGCCATTCCACACCCGCCCGTCCCGGCCGGCCCGTCCAGGTCGTTTGGTGCGCGCCTGGTGTCAGCAGGCGCTCGATGAGGCGGAACCCTTGGCAGGAGCACATCATCCCATGGTGAGGCGCCCGACACTGCCGCGAGTTCTGTGACGTTCCCGCCGCCAAGGGGTGGTGCACGCAGTGGTTTCACGTGGTGGTTCATGGTCGCTCGGTGTCGGAAAGATACGAATGACAACTGAATAGGCCTGTGAATCCCTCTTGCCTGGTGAATGCAGTGGTTCTTTTTGGGATCAGGATCGAGTTCTGTACTTTTCGCCCCCGTTGGTTGTCCTACAGGACTCCTGACTTGAGGTGCGTTAGGTGCACGGTGCACTTCTGCAGGACTCCGTCAGCCGCCTGCGATTTCCTTGTCATTCGTCGCCTGCGACTGCGGCGATGCGAAAGACTTGTCAACCAAGCACTTTGCTTATGGTAGACTGGTCAATGTCTTGTGAGATGTTACCCAAACAAGGGGGCGAAGCAGCAGGGCGAAGCAAGTCATCAACCACCATGAAAGCAGAGCTTTGGGTATTTTTGAGCCACACCAAGCAGGAAGTCAGCGTTTGTCTCAAAGGGTGGTCCTCGGTGAAGGGGGATGGTTTAGGTGTCTTGAGAGCTTGAAACACTTCATATAGAGACGACAGATCTACATCCATCGGCCGGGATGTGGTTCAAGCATGTTCAAGCTGTGTATCCTGGTTAGATGTATAGCTATGTATCCTGGTTATAGATGTTTGTTGGATAAGTTACAGCAATATGTTGCCCCTAGCAAGCACCAAACGCTCTGAAGCACCACCTGTTTGCTCCGAGCAAAATCCTAAGACGTGTGGTCCACGGTGCCCTGGAAAGTCAAGTCGCGACCAGTCGCTGTCAGGCATTTGAAGGAGCTGCTCCAAAGAGAGGTGCTTGGACGCACTCATCAGCAGAAGCCAGTTCAGTTGATGTGCCATATGAAAGAAATACCATCAAGCTCGGAGGGGGGGTTGAGAAAGAATACTCCTTTTGAAACTGTCAGTTTCATTGGAATCGGAAGATCCGTATTTTCATATGTTTTCTGTTTGTTTGTGGGAGGTCGCAAATCTGGGGAGGCCACGTGGTATCCAAAAGGGTACAACCAGTGAAAAGGGTGGAGACCCTATATGGTTTACCCTAATAGTGGCATGGTTTACCCTATGAAGCACTCACTTGACTTGACTCTTGGC